TTACTTGGAATCAAATTGATTAATAATATCATTTTCATGTTAAAATGTTTTATTCCTCGTAATGGGTCTACTTGTTTTCATTTTAATATTTTAAGGTTTTCATTAAAAATATATTAAAAATTTTAAGATAATGAGCTATTAAAAATTTTAAAATAATATCTTTAAATTATTCTTCCTATATCTTAAAAAATAAGTTTTATAAATTGATAATTTAATCTTTATTCTCATACATCTTTATCACAATCACACACACCGATACAAGTAATTATTTTAGTTGATTTGTAAAATAGTCACAATGTATTAATTTTATTTAATTACTTATTATTAAATTGTCTGAAAAGAAGTGAAAATATTACTTTATATCAAAATTTATATATTAATATCAATAAAATGGTTGATTGACCAATTTAGGGTAGTTTTTAAAACTAATTACATAAATGGAGCTGTTTTGAAACTATTTACGCCTTTGGGGCTGTTTACTACAGTGTCGCTATGGGTCATAGCGACACTAGTGTCACGTGTTTTTTTTTCTTGTAACTACAAACGGCTTAAAATTAGCTACTAGAAGTCGCTACCGACTGCGGCGATTTTACTAATGTGGCTATGGGCTCTTTCCCCATTTTAAATAGCTGAATTATATAATATACTGTAAATTATACGTATAAAATATAAAAAAATTTTACAAAAAACAAGTTTTTTAAAAATAAATTTTTCTTTTATATAATATATATTTAGTTAAATAAATGTATTATTTACAGACGCTATGGCCCATCGCGACTTTGTGTCACTATGGGCCATAGCGACCTGGTTTATTATTATTTTTTTCACATTTTTATTTATAAATTTTATTAAAAATATTTATTTGTATACTTGTTTTTTTTTATATATTTTAATTAACTGAAGGAAAAAAAAATATAAGAAAACGCAATAAAAAAAGTATAAAATAAAAATATTTTAAAAAAAATTGATAAAATTAAAAAAAAAAAAAAAATACAGGCGCTATGGCCCACAACGACTTTGTGTCGCTATGAGCCATAGCGACCTGGTTTATTATTTTTTTTCCACATTTTTAATTATAAATTTTATTAAAAATATTTATTTGTATACTTGTTTTTTTTATTTTAATTAATTGAAGGAAAAAAAATATAAGAAAACGCAATAAAAAAAGTATAAAATAAAAATATTTTTAAAAATTGATAAATTAAATATGGAAAATTAAAAATTAAAAAAATACATCTGAAAAAGAAATTATAAAAGGAAAAATAACTGAAGGAAAAAAAATGTAAAAAAAAGGTAGAAGAAAAAAAAATAAATTTTTTAAAAAAATGAAAAAATAAATCTGGAGAAAAAATAATTAAAAAACACAAGATTTTTTACAAATAACCCAAAATAAGTAAAGGGGAAAATGTAGAAAAATACAAAAAAATGAATTACAAAATAAATTTTAAAAAAATGATAAAATAAATCTAGAAAAAACAATGACCTAATGACTCAAAAAACTAAAAATTTTGAGAAAAAAAAAAAAAACCTGAGGTCGCTGTGGGCCATAGCGACTTTTTGTCGCTATAGCCCATAGCGACTTAAGGCAGACCAAAAAAATGAAAAATGAAAAGAAAAAAAAAACTGAGGTCACTATAGTCCATAGCGACTCTAAATAGTAAAAAAAAAAGTATTGTGTCTACCTTTCTACATGCTCGCCATGTGTCATTTTTACCACAAAAACACCCAATAAAAATTCGATATGTGACACCGTAACAGTAAAAAAAAAACTTACCATAAAATAATTGAAAAACGTTAATTTACATATTATTTTTCAAATTATAACGACCTCTTTTTTTTTTTTTTACTTTTTCCATATTTAATGTATCATTTTTTAAAAAAATTTTATACTTCTTTTTTTCTTTTTTTTTTTACATTTTTTTCTTCACTTATTTTTTTCTTTTATATTTTATATATTTTTTAAATCAATTTATATATTTTTTTATGGATTACTAGAGGCGTTAAGGCCCACAACAACCATATGCCACTATAGGTCATAGCGACCTCTTTTTTATTTTTTATTTTTTTTTTACTTTTTCTACATTTATTTTATTAATTTTTTAAATAATTTTATTTTATATTTTTTTTTTTCGTTTTTCTTACATTTTTTTTCTTCATTTAATTTTATCTTTTATATTTTACTTTTTTTTTCTACATGTATTTTTCTCCACATTTATTTTATCATTTTTTTAAATTTTTTTATTTTAACATTCATTTATTTGCTTTTCCATTTTTTTTATATTATTTCGCTTCAGTTATTTTTTTATAAAAATATTTAATTTTTTATAAAAATATTTAATTTTTTATAAATTATAATTATATACTATAAAAAAAAATCATATTCTTTTAAACATATTATATACTAAAATTTTAAATAAAATAAAATTAATTAGTGTCGCTATAGGCTAAAATTTATATGAAGCCAAATTGTGTTGCTATAGGCTATAGCGACTTTATATGAAGCGCTACCGGCTATAGCGACTTTAATAATATGACGTTCATGGCTTCAAAAAAAAATTACACGTGACACTAGTGCCGCTATGGCCCCATAGCAATACCATGGTAAACTGTTCCAGAGACGTAAATAGTTTCAAATGAGCCTCATTTACGTAATTAGTTTTGGAAATTACCGTACAATGGTCAATCAACCCAATAAAATTGATAAATGGTAAAATATCGTATAGTAAAGACAGCAGGAAATATGAACCATGATCACTTAGCTTGAAAATTGAAACTAAAGTTCAATCAAACCAGTATGAAGTTGGAGCCAATGTTATCGAATGGTAATAACATTTTGAAACTAGTAGCAATATATCAAAATATTCCATTCACCCCAAGGCTTCAGTGGTATTTTTCCATCTTAATAATAGTTTTCTTTGGGCCCTAGTTGTGGGTGCATTGACTATTGAGATCGAAAAATAAATAAGAGGACGCTGAGAGTTTGTTACTTAAATAATACTATTTTAAAAAAAAAATTTACCTAAATAACAACTGTGCAAATTTATTTTTTCAACTAGCACTATTTATTATTCACTTTCAAAACAGGCCGTTCTGATTTCAGAACAGACCGTTCTAGATTAAAAAATAACACATGACGAATGAATCAAAACGGGCCGTTCCAAATTCAAAATTGGCACATAAAAAGTGAAACCAGAACGGACCGTTCTAAATCCAGAACGGACCATTCTAGCCTACAGATTCAGACCATTTTTTTTTCGTTTTCACTTATCAAATACTAAAACTCAGAGACTACCATCAAGTGATTAAATTTATTGAATATTAACATTATAAATATAACTAAATAAATTTATTAAAATTCATTACAACAATAAAGATCAATGGTAGCGAAAACTGAATTCATGACTAATATTTGGATGTCTTCCTAGTGTGACCAGGGGTGTGATAATAGGAACATTTTTTTTACACAATTTTGTCATTCTCTAATGTCCATCTATGTTATAATCCTACTGGATTTTGGCTAACCCTTGAAAGTTCTCTTGAGTTCTAGATTTGGCTACAAAGTTGGAAGAAACGCAACATCCGAGAGAAGTTTGACCCGCCGGGAGATTTACATTAAAGGCTAAATGAAATGTGGTATAATTGCAGCAAGTTCCAGAAAGTTCATATCCCTTGAACGTATGACCTGCTGGGAGATTTACAATAAGACTAAATGTAATGTGATGTGATTGCGGCAAGTTCTAGGAAGTTCATAACCCTTGCTCGCATGTACTCGCTTCATGCTTAGATGCACATCACGACTATCAAACCTACATATCTCCCATATATACCTTACAATAAGTTGCAAAGGTATACGAATGACAGTTTGGAAAACTCCGACATGAAAATTATTGGCCTACTTACACTGGTCCAACTTTGTGGCCAAATCCAGAATTCAAGAGAACTTTCAAGGGTCAGCCAAAGTCCAGCAGGATTAGAAAGAAATAGACATTAAAAAACAACATAATCAATTTTCACCACCATTGATCTTTATCATTGTATTGAATTTTACTAAATTTATTTAGTTATATTTATAATGTTAATATTCAATAAATTTAATTATTTGATGGTAATTTCTAAGTTTTGGTATTTGATAAATGAAAATCGAACCAAAATTTTTTTATTTTAGGCCAGAACGGCCGGTTCCAGATTCAGAACGACCGTTCTAGTTCTACTTTTTATGTACTAATTTTGAATCCAAAACGACCTATTTTGATCCATTCGTCATGTGTTATTTTTTAATCTAAAAATGTCTGTGCTGCATTAGCCTAATATAATAGTGTTCAGGAAAGATTATTCTCACCCATTTAAGCTCTTTTAATAATAAAATAAATAAAAATAAAACTATTTGTTAAGAGCATGTTTAGGAACACTAACATGCTAACATTACCTATAGTTTTTTGTTTCTTTAGAAAACATTTGTTCGTAAAACAAATTATATTTAAAACAACTTAAATCTGTAAACAGTTTTTTATTTATTTGAAAAAAAAAGCTGATTTTAAGAATTTGAAAATTTGAAGTATATAATTATTTTCTTATTTTTTTCTTTTATGCTGATTTATTACATAAATTAACAAAATTAAACATTTTAAAATCATTTATCAATAAACTTATCCAAACTATATTTTATTTTATTATAATCAATTATTCATATAATCTATTAATAAAATAATTTAATCTTGAGTTTGTCTGAAATAAGCTGGTTGACAGCAGCTTAAATTTTGCAAACTTCTAAAAAGAATAAGTAGTTTTATTGAATCTAAAATATTGAAGTTCATAATTATTGTCCAACAATTTTTTCTTCTCAAACTAACTTGCTACATAAAAATAAACCTTTATTTTATCAAAACAAGATTAAATATATTAAAAAATATTTTCAGCAAATTTATTCAAAACAAAAATATTTTCAGATTATAATAGATTATAACAATAATATTATACATATAATCAATTATTGAAATTTATTCAAACAAAAAATTTTACTGATATATTATTATATGCATAAATAAATAAGTAAATGCGAGGATTGATAAATCACTGATCACTGATCACGATTATAGTTGCATTAATCAGTAATCTTAGTCAAGTGAAAGCTAAGAAAACAAGAACTAAAAGAGGCAATGTCTACCTAGAGAGTCCACACATGCTCTGGTGCATCATTCCTTCTCCCAGCCAATGTTCTATACAAGTACATCTTTTCTACTTTCTGGGCATCATCCACACTACGATCCACCTTCTCATTGTTATTAAAGATCTCCACATTGAGTCTTGGCATCTTTTCAGCTAGTGCCTTGCAGGCTCCAATGGTCACATTGCAGGACGACATCCAAAGAGATCTCATTGCTTCATACTTCTCTATGTCCATCAAAAGGGCCGTGTCGCCAAAAGGACAATCTCTTATCTCAAGCTTGCGAAGTTTCTTGCATCCATTCAACACATAGAGCATTGCCTTGTCACTCTCTCCAGCAAATGCAATAGACAGCATCTCAAGCTGCTCAGCATACATCCCAATGTATAGGAAAACTTTATCAGTCAGCCGGCCGGAGAGTGACAACCGCCTAAGTTGCCTGCAGGACTGCACAATCGCACCGAAACCTTCATCAAGTGGCTGCATTGTATCAGGGTCAGGTTTTGTTGGATAGAGGATACACAGCCTAAAACGGATGAAATTTGGGCAGTTTTTAGCCACAGTTATGAGGGCAGCATTTGTCATCTGCCTGCAGAAGTAGAGCAATGAGTGAAGCTTAGGGCAACCCTCAGAGATTGCAACAAGTCCTTTTTCTGATACTCCTGAAGGGTCATCTCCAGCAATACGAACAGACGGAAAAACCCTTAGTTCTTGCAAATCTTTACATCGGGAAGCTACAACACCTAGTCCTGTATCCCCAATGCAATCCATTATCTGCACCAGAGTGAAACTATTGATATTAACCAACATAAGAACATAAATTATAAGAAGACACTTAGGTTGATATATTTACCCATAAACGCTGAAGCTTCCCACAGAAGTGAATTAGTTTTATTAAAAATCTGCTTTGAATCCCTGCTGCATAGCTCAGGTTCAAGGCTGTTAAGTTCTTACAAATAGGATATATAACTGAGAGACAGCGAGGAGCAACCTCGAAAAATCCTGACAAACTGGTTATTGAGTCGCACTTTTTAATGGTATTCTTTAGGTTAGTGCAGGTCTCAGAAGCTGGATGATGGACAAATGACCCAATTCCCAAGTCCACTAGCTGAGGTGCTCTACTCAATATCCTTTGGAGTGCACTGAGGGGCACGGTATGGTTTAACCTTAAACTTTTAAGGTTAGGAGATCTGGCTACAAGTCCCTCAAGAGCCCCCAGGTTAATTTGCCCTTTAAGGCAAGCAAAATTAAGAGAGACAAGTGATATACAATCAGGAAAGCAGCTTAGCCACTGGCCTTTGGGGTCATCAACTTCATTTTCCTGCAAGTCCAGCTCCTTAAGGAACCTACATTGTATCAGTGAATTGATGAGTCAAGGCACATCCCTATGTTGGCCATTCTCAATCAGAAGAATATATTTCTGAACAGTGTTCATCTCTACCCCCAGCTACACCATGTAAATTCATGGTATTTGAGGGAAGTATTTCACATAGAGAGAACTTAATAACAAACAAGCCAAGACATGTCAGTAAGTTATCAGCTATGCATAAACAAAAATCAATAACCTCATACCAGATTGAAAAAAATAGTAAAAACTATTAATTAACTAACAAATCAAAACTTGACAGACACAACATCCAAATCAGCAACTAGTTGCTAAATTCCTTCGGGTAGTATCCTTCCAATACCCAAACAAGCATGAACCATCAATTACAAAAACAAAACTCAAATGGCAAACTACAAAACATGACAAATTGAAAAGAAAACACACAAAATCATGGTGGTATCATAATAGCAGCAACATAATATCCAATCCAAGTTATTCATCTCACCTACAATTTGCAGCTATAGCTGCAAGGCCAACAGTGGTGAACCCTTCACAACTAACAAGAACCAGAGATTTGAAATTCATGAAAGAACGGGTAAGTAGCTCCAGGCCCTCATCCGTGACCACCATCCTCTTCAGCCTCAACTCCTCCAAATCTACCTTGCTCTTGGCAAATGCTTCAATCCAAGGATACACAAAACCACCCCAACCTCGAGGAACCAGATTGAAATCAGCAAAATGAGGTTTTCCTTTCAAAGCTAAGGACTTTAGTTCAGGAAACCTCTCTATCACTCTCTCAGGACTTATGGAGTAACAGTTCCCTATGAAAACACTCTTCCTACTGCATCTCTCTAACCTGTACCAGTTTTTGCACACCAGAGAGATCACATTTCTGTCCCTTTGTGAAGTCACATAGTCAAATATGAGCTCAATCACCTCATCAGGAAAACAATTCATCTCTCTCCGTAAGCTATCAATTTTCTTTAGAAAATTTTCAAAGAAACCCTAACAAAAGGGTCAAATCAAAGAGAAAACACTTGCAAAAAAAGTTAACTGGTAGCAAATTTGAACTTTCAACCTTCAATACACTGTCATGATCAAACCATTGAGATTCTTTCCGGGCAGTATATCAGAGAAAAACGATGTAACCAGAAAACAAAACTTTTCAAAAAAAAAAAAAAAAACTGATCGACCAGGTCGAACAGATGCGGCAACAACACGACGCCGATCTGCGAAACATGCATGCCCAGCACGAAACTGACCTAGCGGTGATACGAACTGCCAATGAAGCTGACCTAGCGATGCTACGCGTTAAAAACGAGCGGATCCGCGCCCAGCTCCCTCGACGCCCCTCTGATCATCCTCCTAAGGCGAGCAACCTCCACGAGGAAGAAGGGCACTCGGTCTCTCAGCCCCGAACTGCGACTAGGGCACCGACTCCACGACCTGCCATGCATCGGTCTTATGTTCCGACGAACAAGTCGGCCCATGAAGTCAGCAAGGCCCCAACTCATGTCACGGGGGGTCAAGCAACCTTCCGCCGTCATCCTTTTGTGGACGGCATCATGGAGACGCCACTCCCTCAAGGGTGGAAGCCTTTCCACCTCGATCGCTATGATGGCACGAAGGACCCCGGTGAGTACATCGACCTGTATACGACACAGGTAAACCTCTATACTAACAATGATGCTATTTTGTGTAGGGGTTTTTTGACCTCGCTGAAGGGGGCCGCGCTCAACTGGTACACCCAGCTTCCCGCTGAGTTAATCGACAGCTTCAACACTCTGGTCAGGCGATTCACGATGCAGTATACAACAAGCTGGAGTTTTTATTTTATTATATTTGTAAAAATAATCTTAAAAAATAAAAAAATAAAAAATAACAAAGTGGACTGCCCTTTTGGCATGTGGCATGCGCAATTGCTTCATGCAATTGTGGCCTTGGCCTTAATATATGCACAAGATTGGAGGAGGGATCGGATTTAAAAAAAAAATTAATAAGTGAGAAATGATTTAATAGATTAAAAATAGAATAAGAATTATAATTATTTAATAGAATAAAAAGCAAAAAAAAATTAAATTTTTAAATCATATTTTATTGAATTAAATATTTATATAAAACTAAATTATTTATAAGTATATTGACTTTTTAGAATCATAATTATTATATATCAAGATATAAGTATATTGACTTTTTAGAATCATAATTATTATATATCAGTGAAATTAAGATATTTTATATTTTTATATTTTATTTAATAAAAATGTTTATAAAATTATTAACATTTGATAAATTAATTGGTATTATATTTAATTTTTAAATTTAAGAGTAAAATTGTCTAAAAATATATTCATCAAAAGAAACAACCTCCTTTATTATATATTATAGATAATATATTAAATTAAGTTTTAAATATTTAACTTTAAATAAATATATAAAATTAATATTTATAACATATTATTAAAAATTTAATTTTTACAGAATTAAATATTAAAATTTATATATAATTAAAATTTAAAATTAATAGCATTTTAATTCTGAGTTTTATATATATATATATATAATTAAAAATATTTATAAAAAAAAAAAAACAACATTTAGAAATTTGAGGTCATATTCAACTGTGGTCCTTGCATTGGAACCATAGTCCATTACGGTTTTGTTTTATGTGTTAGACGGGGATCGATAATTTTGAGAATGAATTTTAAGTTTTCAGTTCTTCTCAAATTCTATACCTTGGAGAGTATGAATTTCATCATGAATTCCACACCAATTTCTCATTTTTTTTCCGTTTATTCATCTCTTTCAAACATATTTCTTTTTTAAAATCGGAACAGTTGTTTCACTCTCCTTGTTATTCCATACTAATTTAAAAGTCAACAAACACACTAAATTGTGAAAACTTCTTTTGAATGGTTGTTATGGAATAGGAATCATTTTAAATAAAGATAATGATTCGAATTATTTAAAATCTGCTCTACTTTATCCTATTTAATAAAAATAAGAGATTTAATTTTAAAAAAACTTATTTTTTAAATAATTGAGCTTAAGTTTATAAAAAAAATTAATTCTTTAATATTATAATTTATTTATCTATATAATATAATAAAAAAATTATATATATATTATACTATTGACAATATAATTAAATAAAAATTTGTAATTAAAAAATTAAATTATTAATATTTTTAACATTTTAATTATACTTAGATTACATTTGGTTGTATGTTTGAAATTTGTCACCTTAGTTGATTGGCCTCAAACACAGTATTTATATGTTTACAAATATTTTTCTCATTTAGTTGAGTGTAGATTACAAATAAACTTCAATTAAATCAGAAACTAGAAAGGTATTACCTTTTTTATTATTGAAAGTTCGTTTCAAAAGTTAAATTTAACGCAATTTAACTTTTTAATTATAATCAAAATATACACTTAAACATTTTACGCTTTGTACCGAATAAAAAAAATTGAAAATAGAAACCTCAATGTGAATTGTGTAGATGCTCATGAGTTATCCTCTAAAAGAAAATATTTTTTTTCATCTATTTGTCATTATATACGTACTCTAATATCATTTTATGTATAATGAGTAATTTTTTTTAATTTATTAAAATAGGATTTAATTATTTAAAATATATCAAATGAAATATAAAGAATATTTTAAAAAGAAATTGAATAAAATTATTATCTTTTTTCACAATTTATGTGTTAATATATATTAGTGTACATGAATATGTAATAGTTCTCCCTCTAATAAAAAAAATGATAGAGCATTGAATCTCTCGGTAGCATTATATATGTACACCTCATACGATAGGCATAGCAACTGAGTAGTTAGCAAACATAAAAATAATGGTAAAAGTAATGTAATAACTAGTATTTTGTACAAGTGTTGTCATTAAAGCCTGCTTTTTATTTTATACAATTACAATTTTTAATATTTTTTTATATAAATACATGTTTGTAAATATGTATATAAATATTTAAGAAAAATAATTAAAAATATTAAAATATATTCAAATTAACTTTTATATATTCAACATGAATCTTTATCTTATATGAAAGTATTTTTAGAGAAAAAAAAATTTAACAAGAGGGTTTTTAGGAAGTTTTACAATTTTTTATTTAATTAGATTTTTATTTACCATAATCTACACTAATAATAAAAGTATCATTTTTTGGTGTCCACAATTTATTTTCCAATTTTATCTTTTAGTTAACTACCTTAAAAAAATTAGGTTAAATTATATTTTTTATCCTTTATTTTATTTTATAGATTTATTTTAGTCCTTTATCTATTAAAATGTTCATTTTGGTCCTTTATTTTTTATATGTAAATTAATTTGGTCCCTTTAAATAATGATTATTTTCAATTGTGTGACATGATTTTGAATCTATTTTGGATTGATTCAAAACATGAAACTTGTAGTATTAAATTCACCTATATGAAACTATGAAATGCAATTGATGTTTGATTCTAAAAAAGTTATAAGCTTAGTGAAAATCTGTGTAAAATATATTTCATGAACAACTAAAAAATAATATAATTTTTAAATTTTTTTTTCTTCATGTTTATAACACATTTGGTTTGAACTTCAATAGTTTTCATATAAGTGATTCTTATGAGACAAGTTTAAGTTTTGAATTAATAAAAAAATGATTCAAAATGATTAAATTGACCTAAATTTAAGAGATAAAAGACCAAAATAAATATTTTAAAAGATAAAGGATCACAATGAATTAAAAAATAAAATAAAAGACCAAAAATGTAATTTAACCAAAAAATTATAATAATTAAAAAATAATTGCTCATTAATTAATTGTTAAAAAATCATTATTCTCTCAAAGGCACAAAATGTCTTTCATCCTACTAGTTATTTATAAACTAAATTTTAATGTTTTAAAATAAATTATTAATAATAAAAATAATATTTTATTATAATATAAATTATTTATCATAATATAAATCATAATTTATATGTTTAAAAATATTTATTTATACAAATTTAAATATAATTTATGTATTCAAGCATAATATTTATTTGTATATATAATTGATTATAAATTTAAGTTATATATAATAAATATTTTGTTTGTGTATTAGCTAGATTAAAATACTATTAATTTATATTCGTACATGTTTTATATTATTGTAATTTATATAAGGGTTTAGTTTTTAGAAAATATTATCTTTATATTATATTATATTATATTATATATTCAAATTTTTATATAAATTAGATATATACATAATTTTAACAAGATATGCTAAGAATAAAAACAATTAAATTATGTTACATAAAATTTAATGATTTAATCGATTCATTTGATCAAAATATACCCTTTGTAATTATATATTTTAATATTTTTTGAAAGAATATATATTTTTATATTTAATACAGGGAAATTTGTATAAAAAGAATTATTAATATTGGATTTGAATTTAAATTTAAATTAAATCAAATTTGATAAAATATTAAATGAGTGAGATATATTGTATATAATGTATTACAAAAGGAAGAAACCTTACATTGACTAATATATCAGGTTATAATATAGGCATACAAAGAGGTTAGCAAGTGTTGAGACTTGTGCACATGTACATGGGTCAAAAGGGTCTGTTGTAATGCAAATTAGCTGATTTGCCCCATGTGCACGGGATATACAGGCTTCTTGCAAATTTTTACGTCCTTTTAATATTTTTTAAAAATAATTTAAAAATTATGGGACTTCAGGAGAGTTAAAATTTTAGCATCTTCTAAAATTGATTACTCATAATATCTCATTTTAATACTTTTTTTATTTTTTGAATGTTGGTGGCTTATTACCCATTATTCTCTTTAAATATATATTTTTTTTTAATTTTTCCCAATGCCCCACCCCTATAAATAGGTGTTTCTCTTGAAAGGGAAAGACATTCCGAGAAAAACTCTCTTATCTCTCTCTCTCTCTCGCATATCTTCTATCCTTTTCTACTCTAGGTTCTAAATTTTCTTCTTGCTAATTTTATAGTCTTAGTTCTATTTTGAGACGTTCCTATTGTATCTTGGAGGACTTGCATAGATACTGTAGATAAGTCTTTTAGAATTGTGCTCAAAATGCCTCAAGAAATTCAACTATTTTTACTACAATCTAAAGAACTTATTATGGCTGACAACATGATCCTCAACCCAAC